AAGATCTCTTTCCTTAGTGGAACTAAGAATTTGTGAGATAAGCTGGCCATCAAATGTACAAAAATCACATGGCCTTTGGGATGATAACTAAGTTAATTCAACAACTAAAGTATACAACTAAAATACTACAGTAGCTGCTTTATATGCAATGTGGGAGCCCACCAGACTCCTGTATGCATTTTTTTGCTACAAATAGAATGTCTTTCACAAAGATTCTTAAGAGCCAAAACTTCCATAGTTACTTTCTCAACAATGTGCACAGGACCTAGTCATGTGGGTCCAAGATGCATTTATTGTTATTTGTTGTTCAGTATCTGTGCTATCAAGAAAAGTGATTTGATATATTTCTATAAGAGAAGGCACTCAAAAAGTTGGATAGACAGGCATAGCTTGAGAGTAAAATAAACTATTTAACAAATTATTGTATTCTCGAAGGCTTTCATGGCTGGGATCCGATGGTTGTTGTGGGATAGTTAAGTATTTATAGCTGTGGAATAAGCTTTTGTCCTTTTCAGGATATTGGGTGATTATGGTGATCAGTGTTTTTTTGGGAGGGTGTATTGTTGTGATAAGGTGTATTGTTGTGAAATCCCACAAAACTGCACCAGAGCACAGAGAGTTCTGACTCCTGTCCTCTGAAGATGCCGGCCACAGAGACCGGTGAAACGTTAGGAAGAACAACCTTCAGAACATGGCCAAGCAGCCCAAAAAACCTACAAGAATTATTTAACAAATTGCTTCCGCAGAAAGTCAGGTGCTGTAAATTATACTGCTGCCCATGCAAGGATATGACTGGTTCTGTCAGAGACAGGTAGGTATGGTCTCTGTGAAATCTTCAATGATCAGAAGTTGAGAGTCATACACCAGCAAATTTTAAAGTAAATTTGCTCATTATTGGCTATGCTGCCTTGGGTCCGCAGTCTAGTAACATCAGAGAGCCACATGTTGTCAACCCTTGGACCAACGCTTCAGGAGTGGATATTTTCTACCATCATATTCCTGGAGAGAGTGTCTGATTAGGACTCAGGGTACCTGGGTTTAAATCCCCACTTAGCCCCAGAAACTTGGGGGAGGGGGCTATAATAAACCACTCCTTGAACATCTCAAATACCCTGAGAATCCTATTAAAGGTACAGTAAAGGTAAAGGTTCCCCTTGACAATTTTTGTCCAGTCGTGTTCGACTCCAGGGGCGGTGCTCATCCCCGTTTCCAAGCCATAGAGCCAGCGTTTTTGTCCGAAGACAATCTTCTGTGGTCACATGGCCAGTGCGACTTAGACACGGAATGCTGTTACCTTCCCACCGAGGTGGTCCCTATTAATCTACTCGCATTTGCATGCTTTTGAACCACTAGGTTGGCGGGAGCTGGGATGAGCAACAGGTGCTCACTCCGTCGCGTGGATTCGATCTTACGACTGCTTGGTCTTCTGACCCTGCAGCACAGGATTCTGCAGTTTAGCCCACAGCGCCACCACGTCCCTGAGAATCCCATTAGGTCACCATAAATTGGAAATGACTTGATAGCACATACCAATAATAATTAGATAGCACTGCCTTTTAAAACCTTTGTCATGTGTTATGTATTTAGTCACTGCATAGGTCCTTTTCAACCAGGTAATTACACAGCATTTTACTTAACAAATGATCAATTCGGAAGAAAGGGAATGGGCTTTAATAGTGAGGTGTGATATAGCAAAAGCAGTTGTGGTCTGCAACGCAAAGGCTATCAATCATAATTCATGGAAAGCTTATCATAATATTCATCATTCAGGCTTATGCTCCAAGTTCAGAAGTTAAAGAAGAACTTAGAAAGTTTATGCAAGCATTCAGCAGGAAATGGATCACACAGCAAAACAGGATGTGTTGTTAATCATAGGTGACTGGAACACAGAAGTAGGAAATAAAGCAGAACCAAACGCTGTTGTGGAGATTTAGCTCAGGAATTAGAAATGAAGCAGGGCAGCATCTCATGGAATTCTGTAAACCCAGCAATCTGTTTATTGTGAAATACATGCTTCAAGCAATACAAAAGCTAATTGTTCATATGGACATCACCATATGGCTAATAAAGAAATCAGTACACTATGTAATTAGAAGGGGCAAAAGCTTCGCAGTCTCAATAAAAACAAGACCAGGAGCAAACTGTACACAGATCATGGACTCTTAATATCAAACATAAAAGTAAACTTGAAGAAGGCCACTAACATTATCACAATGCCAGAATTTCTCAGGAGTTTAAAAATCACACAAAGGACAGCCTTGCATTGTTCACCTCAATAAATTGTGAATCAGAATAACTGAGGACTAAAACCTGAAATGTAATCAGGGAAGAATGCTAAAAGACTTCCTCTAGCAAAAAGGAAAAAAAAACTTGATGGATGACTGAAAAAAGCTTATAATTGTTAACAACAGATAAGAAGCAAAAGGAGACAGAAATAGGATCAGAATTCTAAATGCAGTTTTTCAGCAACTTGCACATAGGGACACTCAGAACTATTATAATGCTCACTGCAAAGTAGAAGATGAAAAGGCAAAAAGGGAAACAAAATATATTCTATAAGATCAAAAAAATCAAAGGGAAATTGAAACAAAGTTTAGGGATACCATAACATTTGATGATTCTGATGTATAACCTATACTGTAGGTTACTGTTAGATCAGAATATGTAGAAGCAGAATGGTTTCCAACTGGCAAAATATTAGGCAAGGGTGTATTTTGTTTCTCCATCTATTCAATGAATATGGCAAACATATCATATGGAAAAATGACTAAACTGAGAACATCATACTTTGGGCACATTGTGACAAGATTCACTGGGAAGGATAATAATGGGGAAAATGGAAGGCAATAGAAAAAGAGGTCATCTGAGCATGAGATGGACTGACTCAATAAAGGAATCCATAGGCTTTAGTTTACAAGACCTGAGCAGGGCTTTTAATGACAGGATGTTTGGAGGTTGCCATACTTTTGGAGTGACTTGACAGCACTTAACAACATTCAATCTCACTTATTGACAGCCACCTTGTAGGAATGTCGGGAGGCAGATGGCGATATATACATATTGTAACAAGGAAAAAAAAACTACCAAAATCACCAAAAACAAAACAACAGAGATCTAGTCTGCTTTAATCTTGCCTGAATTTGTTAGATATATAGTAGCCAATGTGTGTGATGTCCATATGGCCATGTGTCTTGTTTCTGAAGGACAGATGGCAGCATGGAAATGTGTCCTTGTAGCTGGAAGTCCTGAGTACTCTGGCTATGCAGGTACTTTCTTTGTTAACTGGATGCTTCATAATGCCAGGGACAGCTCATGCACTGTGTTGGGGAAGTTACTCACCCCTAAACCTGACAGGGACCTGTCCCAGTCACCTATGCACGATATTAAGGAGAACAAAGGTAGCTTGGGACACCAGCAGGGTGTTGTGTTGACTCCTCCTGGGTATATAGCTGAGGGGAGATTAGCATTTGTATAGGACAGTCAGGAAAGCAAATGTCCAATAAGTGATGCTGCCTTTGCTAATTATATTGTGTGCCTATGAACAGTACAGAAAAGGCTCTGACCTCATCCTTTGACAGTTACAATATATTTAAATAACAAAGAGATACAAGGCACCTTAATGGCAAGACAATTTGTTGCTACATAAAAGGGCCAGAAGACTCTTAGTGGAGTGACATCCCATTCTTGCATAAGTTTTAAACCGTAGTAACATATCTAGACTCTAAGGGAAAAAGTGTGTTATGTCTCGAGAACAAGGCCTGCCCAACCGGCAGGTAAACTGAGGCAACTGCCTCTGGCAACTGATCTTCAGGGTCACAAACGAACAGTACATTATTGTGGGACCTTCACTTCCAGGGATTGTAAGGAAGTGCTTAGGGAATTTTTCTTCTCCACTCAGCAGAGAAACTTGGCTGTTTTGGGCTATTGCACACCTTGACTTTGACCCCTCTTGGCTGCTCCGTCTCAGGCACCAAAAGGTCTTGTCTTGGGGGAGCCCTGACGGATTTCACCGCGCCCTTCTCTGATCCTTCCTACTGACAGCTGCTCAGCCACGGTTATCAGGGTGAGGCAGCAGGGCGCGGGTGGGGCGGCTGTCAGCGTCACTGAGGCAAAAGGGGAAGCTTGTGCCGGGTGTAAAGAAGACGCTGCGTGAGGAGAAGGACGGAGAAAATGCCGCCTGCCACTGCTGGGCCGTGTGGAAAACCGGGGCGAAGAGAGGGAGGGGCGCCACACAAACAGCGCTCCTCTCTTCGTGCAAAGCAACCACCTTTTGCACCAGACCCGAAAAAAAAAAATTTACACTTTCGAAGGCGGAGCTAGAAGAGGAAGGAGCTGATAGGTCGTTGTACCTCGTGACAGAGTCTTGCCTTCCAATTAAAAAAAAGGATCGCCACGCCTATTTGGTACCTCATCTTCTAGGACAGGGCCCAATAAGAAAGCTCGCTGTGGGCGTGGCGAACGGTTTGGCGTGAGAGTCCCCAGGGCCCAATAGCGCGGGGAAACGCGAGGAGTCTCCGCCCGGTTGCCGGGGCCGCAGCCAATGAGGACGCTTCTTGGGGGCGGGGCGGGGCCGGGCGGCGGGTGGCTCTGGGGTTCCGTGTGGAAAGGAGTGTTAGGGGGTTCGGGTGCAAAGTTTAGTTTCAAACCGTCTGCAAAGAGCGGCGGGGCGGCTGCTGCTGCGAGCGGTGCCTTCGCTCTTTTAAGACGGGCTCCGGATAGAAGCGGAGGAAAGGGTGCAGCCGCGCGGAGGAGCGAAGGGGAGGCAGCAGCAGCAGCAGCAGCCGCCCCTGCAATGAACCAGAAAACCACTGGTTCATGATGGTTTGTGGTTTGTGGCTAACCACGAACCAACACAAACCCTCAGAAAAATGAACTAATTTGTGTTTGAGGGGGCCCTACCCTTTACTTCTGATGCCATGACATACAACACCTCGGGTATAAATATATAGCGAGCCTGAGGGGATAGGAAAATGGTATAGTGGCATAGACAAAATGTTCCCGGGCCGGCTTTCCCTCCCCTCCGCGATGGGCGTGGAGGACCCGGGCGAGAGCCCGGCGGTGTCCCGGCGCCTGCACGGCCGGCGGATGCGCCTCATCTGCATGCTGGCCATGACCTTCTTCTTCTTCGTGGTGGAGGTGGCGGTGAGCCGCCTGACGGCCTCGCTGGCCATGCTCTCGGACTCCTTCCACATGCTCTCGGACGTGATGGCCCTGGTGGTGGCCCTGGTGGCCGTCCGCTTCGCCCAGGTCACCCGCGCCACCAAGAAGAACACCTTCGGCTGGGTGCGGGCCGAGGTGATGGGCGCCCTGGTCAACGCCGTCTTCCTCACCGCCCTCTGCTTCACCATCCTGCTCGAGGCCATCGAGCGCTTCACGGAGCCCCACGAGATCCAGCAGCCCTTGGTGGTCATCGGCGTCGGGGCCGCGGGGCTCCTGGTCAACGTCTTGGGGCTCTGCCTGTTCCACCAGCACGGCGGCGGCGGCGGCCACGGCCACTCGCACGGCTCCGAGGGTCAGGGCCACGGGCACCGGCGGAGCCCGAGGAAGCACGGGGCCGGAGGGAAGGGGAAGCCGCAGCAGCAGCAGCACCGGCGGCGGGGCAAGACGGACCGCTCTCCCGCCCGCCACGGGCATCACAAGGAGGAGACCAACACCCTGGTGGACAATTTCAGCACCTCCAATGGAGTCAGCGAGAAGAAGCCAGGTGAGCTCAGGAAATGGGGCTGGATGGAGGAGAGGGGAAGGCACCACAAGAGCCCCCTCTTTCCGAAGCTCCTTGAATTCTCTTTCTCCCTCCACCCCCCATAAAATAAGAGGCAGGAGACACCTTTCCTCTGGACTTGAAGGGAGTAGTTATTTTGCAGCCTTCTAGGGATCAACTTGGCCCTACTGTTGGGGAAAGGACTCTGAGCTTTAAGAACCCTCTCCTTGTCCATGGAAATGAAACTGCTGAGGAAATGCTGTGAAACAAGCACTCCTCTGGCTGTGCTGGCTCTTCTCTCACCTTTTGCTCTCCACTGCATGGGTTTTATCTTCACAGGTCTGTCCTTCACCTGCTGTCCCTGATTTACTCTCTTGGCACTCACTGCCATGGTTGGTAGCTCCCTCAAGGTGCATGTCTGGGCCTACAGTTTAGGACTCTCTGTCCTATGTATTGTTTACACTGAGAATCTCACCGATGATCCGAATAGGATGTGGGACATGCTTTAGTTATCAATCTGTGTTCTATTTCTCAGCGAGGAGTTGGTAATCCAGGTAACTTCACATGGGTAGTTTCTCCTTGTAAGAAATGGCCAGAAGAGCTTGCCTGCCCTAGGGCTTATGCTTCCAGTTCATGTTGGGGCATGCTTTATGCTCATGTTTTGTATGAGCTATCTGGGCATTTTAGATTATGCACTAGGGTGTCTTGTAATGTGCTGAAGTTTTGTGGCTACTGAAAGTAGCTGTGGCTTCTTCCTTGCATTATCTGAAAGCTTTATACCACCAGCAAGGATTGTAAAAAAATAACTGATATTTTTTCCTATAGGGCAGGTTGGCCAGCTTGTTGGACTGCAACTCCCATCTGCCCTAGCCAGCATAGCTAATAGTGAAGGATGCTGGGAGTTGCTGTCTTGGAACCTCTGAAACAATTTGACATTGTTTTCAAATTGTAGGAAATTTAAGGTATGCAGTAAGGTGTGTGTCTATTGTATATGAAAGGATATCTTCCCATAACTATAATAATAATCATGTGTTGTCAAGTCACCTTTGACTTATGGTTACCCTTTTCCTGGTAGAGAATACTCAGAAATGGTTTACCATTCCCTTCTTGTGGGGCACCCTGGAAGGACTGTGCAGTTTGCCCAAGTCACACATACTGGCTCTTCCCCCTGGAGGCACAGTGGGGAATCAAGCTCCCAATCCCCTAGCTGCACAGACAGATACCTAAACCACTGAGCTATCCAGCCAGCTCACATAAGTCTAAAGAACAATTGCTGCAGATAATTTCTACATGGCTATTTTGTGGAGCAGAGTGGATTCATAGATGTTCCTGCTCAGTCTCTGCATGAAGCATATCTGTAAGTGGGATTTTAAATGGGACCCTGTTGCAGTAACAGGGTCCCATTTAATGTCCATATCAATGACAGCTATCACAATCCTGGATGTGGATGTACTCTCTGGAAAAGCAATACTGTCTGGAAGGCTGTGCCATTTGCCTGTGTGAGCTATAGTTCTTCTGCAGATGGAAATATTTGGGAAACCGGCAATGCAGTCTAAATATTAAGGATTTATCAAAACCAGTATACCTTTTTGTGATTGTCCTGGAATATCAGCTTAGTGAGGTAAAAGTATACTTTGTTCCAGAGATAGCATGAGCAGTCCTTCATTCTGGTTCAATATTCTTGCTTAACTCTACAGTGGACCCTCTACTGACGGAATTAATCGTATTGAAACTGTGGCTGCAGGTCGAAAAGTCTGTAGGTTGAGGCTCCATTGACCTACAATGCACTGAAAACCGATTAATCCGTAACCAGCTGTTTTTGTTCCATTTTTGTTTTTTTCTGGTCTGTAGGTCGATTCTCCGGCTGCAAGTTGAACCTAAATTTTGCAGCCAGAGAAATCTGTAACTCGAAACGTCTGTAAGTCGAGCCGTCTGTAAGTTGAGGGTCCACTGTATTGTCAATTGACCTTTTGTCAGTGGCCATCTGATTTTTCTTTTTTAAATCAAGTGTGAGCTTATCTGCATAGCTAATTTTTTAGTGTCAGGCCACTGGGACAAATAATTGGATCTTTAAGGACTGGCTAAACCACAGATAAAGTCAACAGGCCCATTAATTTTTACTAGTACATTTAATGTATTTTATGTTTTCATGGGTAGCAAATCAGAGATGAATGGTAGAGAGCCTACGGTGAATTGACACATAGACCTTCTTAACATAGCCCCATCATTCCCTACTTACACCTTCTATCCTCAGCAGTATTCTTCAAGAGCTTCAAAGTATTTGGCCCTGGGACCTATATTTGCTGATCTTTTCAATACAGGAATTAGTAACTGCTACCGAAGGGCCCAAGCTGAATGTTCCAGAGAGTCTATTAGAAGAAGGAGATCCTTAAGAGCTGATTGCCTTTTGTGTTCTTCAAATTAGCTCACTATGTTTTGTGACTGGTCTTGAAGACATGGGCAAGTCTTTGCTTGCCTGATTCACAGGTTATCTGAAACATGTTTGGCTTAAGGTCTGCAACGATATCCCTTCCACAAATCCAGAGGTGTCATTAACTATAAGTTATGACAGTGTCAGCCCCTTTGTTGTCTTGCATTTGCAGCCCTGGCTGGATATGACCAATTTGAAATTTGTTAAAATAATCCTAAGGCTAACTCCATGCTTAGTAAAGGTAATGACAATCCAAGCTTAAGAAGAACCTTGCTGCTAAGCATATGTTAAAAGATTTAATATGCAGAATGGAATACCAAAGCTTGTCATAACCATGTAATGTCTGCAGAACTGAGGTACTAGCTGGTTGACTGGTCATTCCCAATCATGCTGCCCCAGGTGTTCTTAGACCAACTACTCTAAGAAACCCTTACCATTTGCTGTGCTGACTAGGGCTGCATTTAGGCCTGCTTCTTATTTAAATAGGGAGAGGGCTTCATAAGCAGTTGAAAGGTGAAATTGAGGCCTGAATGTTTTTGATTCAAATGTGTTGGAGCAATTGCATACCTTGAAGTATACAGCTGTAAACAGCCCTCAGATCTCGATCTCTCTCTCTCTCTTTTCCTAAGTTGTTTTTGTTTTGAATGCCACCACTAGAACTCATAAAATTCATTACATAGGTGGAGTTGAACTGGTGAAATAAATGTGGGAGTTGTAGTGATTCAGGTTGTACTGGTTATGTTGGTGAAGCCACTGGGCAAGTAGGATGTTGCTCACTGTGTTTATCATAAGTATCCCAGCCCCCTTTTCAGTTTAGAGAAAAAAGAATTAATTGATATGATATCCATATTATCTGATCCTTTTGTATAGCAATATGAGAAAAATTAATCATTCATGCAAGAAAGTTATATTGCTTAAAACTGTTTGCTAGTACCAGGCCACAAACAATGGTTTGGGTCCAGAATTTGCTTCTTGTGAATGGAAGTGCTCTTTTTGTCCATGGAAGATTTCTGATCCAACAGTGGAGTTCTGCTTGCAGGAAGAGCTTGATTCTTCCACCCCACCCTGTTTTCCCTTGCAGTCATTATGGCATCAATTCCAGATCTGCCCCCAAGAGTTGGAGCAGTATAGGCAGTGATGTTGGGATCTTCCAGAGTGGGGGGAACCTGCACTTTCCACTGAAAAGACTTGCTGAGTGGAATTCAACTCAGGGATTGCTAATGCCATTAGATCCAGCCCTAGTATCTGCAACCAAGGTTTAAGGAACTCTTTGGTAAGGGTTTGGAAGAGATATGAGGCTTGTTTAATTGTTCTAACAAAATGCAACAAAAGAGTAATAAAGTTCCATCTCAAAGTAACGCTAGTACACCTCTGCAGCTTCTCTGCTGAGTTGTCAATCTAATCATGGAGGCATATTTAAGCTCCTCTGTATATCTTTGCTTTTTGCACTAACTTATTTGCAGTAATGTATTTCGACTTGGATGTTGTTCAGAGTGAAACTTCCTTGGAGGTATAGTGTTTTTGAATGCTCAAAGTGTCTCAGATCACTTCTCCAGTTCTTCCATCACACAGCTGCTTGCGCCTCCCACTCTTTTCTCCCTCTCAATTATTACAGATTTTATCATCTTATAACCAGGTGCCAATTTAGGCTCAAAGGTAGAAGAGCTAAAGGAGGCATTTTACATTTTGGCTAAACGTCTGAAACCTGAAAGTCCATCTTCAAATCTTTTTGGCACAAACAAGTCTTGCCCTTTGCAGAATACAGTGATGCCCCACTTGACAATTACCCCGCTTGATGACAAATCCGCTTTACGATGAGTTTTTTGCGATTGCTATTGCTAGTGTTGGAGCAATTGCATACCTTGAAGTATACAGCTGTAAACAGCCCTCAGATCTATTGCGATCGCAAAACGATGATTCAAAGGGGTTTTTTCACTTAACGGTGATCGGTTCCCTGCTTTGGAACCAATTTTTTGCTTGACAATGGTTTTAAAACAGCTGATCACAAATGGCTCCCCGCTGTGTTTAGGACAGAGTCCTCGCTTTATAGGCACCGGAAAATGCCCTATGGAGGATCTTCGCTGGATGATGAGGTATTTTCCCCATTAGAACGCATTAACCAGTTTTTAATGCATTCTAATGGGTTTTTTACTTTCGCTTGATGACGATTTCGCTCTACAGCGATTTCTCTGGAACGGATTATCGTCGTCAAGCGGGGCACCACTGTAGATGTAATAGTGATCTAGTTGTGTGCAACCCTGTGAAGTATTAATGCATTCTCGAATTGATCTTTAGTTTCATAGTTTGGAGGTGTAAATGGATTGTATACCTAACCTGACGTGGGTTGCACTATCAAAAATATTACTGCTCTGTCGCAATTTTATTCTTTTCTGATTTGGAATTTTAAAATTACAAGTCAGGGAGAATGAAGGCTATGTGCTTTAAAAATACTGACGTTAGCTCCCCTGACATAAGGTGTTGTTACTGTTGAGTATGAAACAGCTAAAGTCTGCTCTGTTACTTTTGCAAACCATGGATTGAGATGGTCTTAGAAGTCATTACTTAGCATGTATATGCTAATAACTTCAAAATGGTTCAGAGGGAATAAGAAGGGGTCTGCCTTGTTGCTCTCCTACAAATGTTGCACTGTCCAAGTATTGCTAAAAATTTTGATGATTCACTCATTATGCCTTTTTATTTATATTAATATTTTGTTCTTGCCTTTGCAGGTCATGGAGCAAAAGAGAAGCAAATGGAACTCCATCCCAATGGGAATATTGATGATTTTACCTCTCCAGTAACAGACGAAGATGAAGACAGTGACTCTCAACTCAACATGCGTGGAGTATTTCTTCATGTCCTTGGAGATGCCTTGGGTTCTGTTATTGTTGTAGTGAATGCCTTAGTGTTTTACTCTTACTGGACACCTTGCCCAGAGGATGGGCCTTGTATAAACCCATGTGTTAACGACCAGTGTGGAGAAAACACTACTGAGATGTTCAACAGATTGAATGCAACTGAACAGGAGAAAATTCATGTGACCGGGCCCTGCTGGCTTCTATATTTAGATCCTGCACTGTGTCTGATAATGGTTTGCATTCTCCTTTACACAACATACCCGTTGCTTAAAGAATCTGCCCTTATCCTTTTGCAAACTGTTCCCAAGCAGATTGATATTTGCTCTTTGAACGAGAAGCTCCGCAAACTGAAAGAAGTTGAAGCAGTCCACGAACTGCATGTTTGGCAGCTTGCAGGAAACAGGATCATTGGCACTGCTCATATCAAATGCAAGGACCCAGAAACATACATGAAAGTGGCCAAGCATATTAAAGAAATCTTTCATGATGCAGGGATCCATGCAACCACCATTCAGCCTGAATTTGCCATTGTGGATGCAGACATGAGCTTTGAGACTATAAGCAAATGTGAATTACCCTGCAGAACCCAGTGTGCACTGAAGCAGTGTTGTACGGGTGTGGAAAAGAGTACTGTAAAGACGCCAGAAAAGTCCCCTCCTATTAGTATTTCATGCACAGAAGTAGTCATCGACTCTCCACATCACAAAACCCGGAGGACTAAAAAAGAGCATATACCTGCAGGAAAATTACAGTCCGGCCCTCACCGTCACAAACAGTTTGAATCGTCGTTATAATTCCAAAAGTTGTGCCAAGGGAAATCTGAGTTTGGCCACATGTTGACTGTGGAAAGAGAAACTCAGGCATTAAAAGACATTATAAAATAATGTAATTCTTGGAAGTCCCTGTTCTCGTCACAACACTTAAATCTTGGCTGCCTGTTGGAAAGAACATCATGGTGCCGTCCTGACACAACATGTGCTTGTGTTAACTTTTCATTGAATAGCACAGAAAAGTTTGCCAATGTTGCAGTAACTTTGCTCAGCCAGTTTTGGTTGGATTTTAATGTTAAAAAAGATGTTCTCCAACAACCCATTTCTCCCTCCATTTTGGGCTTCATCTTAGGATTGCTATTTCTGCTTACTGATTTTTTGGGGGATGCGTGCTTGTCTCTTTTAACATGTTGCAAACCATAGGGAGAAGAAACCAAAGTTGGCATTAAAAAGAAACAGACACACACACAACCCGAGAATTTTAGACTTCCTTCTTAAATGAAAAAGTGAATGCTATTCTAAGTAGGTATATTAGTGGTAGCATCTTAAACCATATCTAGTTCTGTTGACAAAAACAATAGCCTTGTTTGTATTAGGCCTGTGATGTCAAGAAAATGGACTGATTTGCAAATACAATTTTTTACCATACGAATACAAATAACTTCTGGGCTGTAAGATCAAGTTCTCAGACTGGATTTACCGTTCAGAGGGCTTTCCTCCTTACCTATTATTTCCCCCCCAGACAACATTGTTGTTGTGTATATTTTTAGAATTGAAGCCAAACTTTAAAAGAGAGCTAATGCTGGGACTACCAAACCAGAGTTAGTCTCGTTTGTAGCAGGGTCCCCCGCGGCTTGCTGAAATGAATGCATAGCTACTGACTATATTCTCTCTTTTTTTGTTTTGAACTTTAAAAAAACTTGAGGAAGGTAGCATACATCAGTGTATGCTGCTCAAATCATTAATATATTTCTTCCTTTCAAAGTATTTATGTCTCAGTCAGAGCTGTTTTGCTTATTAAGTAAGCAATGCACACTTGAAACATTTTCTTTGGAACAGCACAGCCAGCTGCCTCTAAAGCAGCGTATTGAGCTGATTCTGGCATCCCAATCAACAATTGGTTTGTCATGATGGCAAAGAACTGCAGTCAGTCTGCACACTCCCCTCCCCCGCATGAGGAAGGAACTGGAAAATTTTTACTTCACTTTCTTTTATTAACAAGACTTCAGCCTTGCACCTGAAGCCTAAGCTGTGGTTAATTGTAACTATAGTTTGATGTGAGCCCAGGAATTTGCTCCCATCATTTTTTCCCCTCTCTTTCAATTTAATAAACAGCTCCTGCTAGTGCCATAGCACTACACAGGGCAGCACACATTAAAATAAAGAATCCAACACTTAATAAAACCAGAAACAATCTACTCACATCATGATTGTCCATGGACTGACATAGTGTCGCAACTGGCTGACATTTCTTTTACCTACTTCTGTTTCCATGTAATGAAGCCATATGATAGAGCAGAATTCTAGCCCTGTTCAGTTTTTTTCTTTTCTATTAAACTTTTAAGACCTCTTGAAGCAAGAATTGCAGAGAATGAAGTTATAGGAGGAAGTGACTTCTCAATTCTGTCATTCATTTGCTGGATCATTTGCTAATTGCACTCGAGCTACTTGCCCAAGCCTCTTTAAAATAAAGCAGAGAAATGTTTTGTTTCATCAAAATATGGTATTACTCTGGCAATGAAGGCAAACTGAAATGTGTCTGAAGTGAACCATAGATTTGTGTTTACATCAAACACACAGTCTTGAAAATTAGGGCTAACTCCTAACTTTTAGTTGTGGCATCAGTGTGAATTAGTTCCTAAAGTGTTTCTGAGAGCCCTCCTTGGAAGATTTTTTTGGATTGCGAAATGTCTTACGAATTGCATAGTTCTTACCCCAGTACAGTCACTGTAGTGAAATGCTATTGCAAGAAAAACAAAACCTTTCAGGTCAGCCCATGAATTAATTTTTCTTCTCTACTTTTGGGAGTTATCTTGCACTGTTAAAATGCAGGCTCTGATCACAAATGCCTTACATCAGTGGATGCCAAACTTGAGACCCCAGATGCTATTGGCCTACAATTCCCAGAAATCCGGGCCATCACAGTTAGTGGTGAAGGCTTCTGGGAGTTTTAGTTCAATAACATCTGGGGACTCAGGGTTGGGAACCACTGTTTTACACAATGGCAGCTGAGCATTGTTCCCTTTCTGTCAAAGTGCAAAAAAAAATATTCACTGATTTGCACTTCTTGTTGCTAGCATGGACTTTTAGAGGTAAAACAGGTGAGATCAATGGATACCATTCTCCCTCTGCTCAGCAGTTTTGTATTTCAGCCTTGTTTCTACAATGCCCTCATACATGATTAACACACTCAAAAGTGGGATAAAGCTGAACTTATAGACAGATCTAGCAATTTCTTTTGGGTTCTTTTTACTAGATGGATCACCTGTTGGTTAATGCTCCAAATTGTCTCCCATGCATTACTGCAAGCATACAGCACCTGTGCTGTACAATTTTAATTAAAGAACAAAAGCAGCTGTTTTGAAAGTTTCATCTGCTCTTCTGTGGTCTGGACAAAGTTAGATAGGCATTGCTCTTCCACTAGGGAAGGACAGGCAGAAAAAGCAACAAAAATGCCATTACATTTTTAGATCTTGAAGCCAAGGCTTCCTAACCTTTAATGCTATAAGCATGAGATAGGTCACTTAATAAAGAAAAAAGAAGTTTCTTATCTCTCATATGATATACTTCAGATCAAGATAGTCTGACTTGTAATCTCCTCCAGTCTGTTAACGGGTGTTTTTCTTTATCGGGGTAGCTGGTGTATACTTTGGGATAGGGTAATTGTTTTGTTTCTTAAAAAAAACCTCTGCATTTCTCTCTAAATCACAACCTTCAGCTCTCATTTTGAGTGTGCACTGTAGTGATAAGGGAGAAAAGCGGTTGAGTGTATGCCAGATGTAGTTCTGATTGTCTTTATTATGCAACACCTTGCTTCCTTTTATGGCAGAATATTGCATTCATTTCTGTTTCTGCAAATAAGTTTTCAATGATGGTAGCAAGGTAGTTTCTTACAAATGTTTGGAAAACTGAACATCTTGAATATCTCTGAAGTAGAGGAGGCATGCTTTTGTACTTGATATAAGTATTAATGTCAGTTTTGCAAACTGCTGTACTGTATATGGTAACATTAGTTTTGGGTTTTTCCCCCCCCCTCCTCAGTGCTGGTCTTGTTGAGGAGGGTGTTTCCAGTCAGACCATAAGTAATGATCGCGCACTGTGCTCAGTATCTGCCTTTGTGGTGAAGTCCCAGAATGGATGTAGGCTGGTAATGTGAATGTGTTTCATTCTAGTTCTGCAGCAAAGTCTTTTTGGGAGATTTCAGATAACACGTCACAAAATAAACACATATAGCCACCTCACACATTCCAAGTTTCACCACAGAAAGGCACAAGTGAGCTAGTGTTAAATTTGCTGATCTGTAGCGTGAAACTACTCCAAGAGGCACTCAATGTCTGGACCCTTGAGACTGGCTATTTGTTGTGTTGCTATGTGTCAAACTGGCCCATAAATGAGGTTAAATGCCTTTACACTGTGAGTGTTTAAGAGGGTCACCTGAAGTTCTGGAGAATGTTTCAAAACCACTAACAGCTCTAGAAGCAAGTCATGCTCAGGATCTCTTACAAGGTTTGCTTTCCTTTCCCCCTCTCCTAGCCTGTGGACATCTGTCGCTCTTGCTACATGCAAACAGAGGTTGCAGATAGGAGCCCAATTCAGATCAAGATGTCAGGGAAGGCATAGGCACAGACTCCTCTCAGTTAATAGGAAACTTTATTTTCAACAGAATGCACTTTCTGACTTTTCTCATTGATAGGGGAGCTACTTTAATGCTGCATCTCCTGCTTTTTGACTTGTTAAGGGTTTTAGTGCGTGCGTGTGTGCGTGAAAGGAGTATTACATATTTAAGGTATTGAGTACAATATTTAAATATGCTGCTTAATTTCATAACAGCATCAATGTAGCCTTCTGGGACTTTGGCTTATGTTTACAGAACAATTCTTGAATATTACAATAAATATTTTGTTTTGCTTCTATTTGGCACCATCTTTTCAGCTCTTGATGAACTGAAAGGTACTAATGTTTATGTGCCTGAAATATGTATTTGATTTTCTTTCTTTCTTTCTTTCTTTCTTTCTTTCTTTCTTTCTTTCTTTCTTTCTTTCTTTCTTTCTTTCTTTCTTTCTTTCTTTCTTTCTTTCTGCCAAATGCAGCCTTACTAAAAACAGGAGCTTTTATCCCTCTGGGTCATCTTGGGTTTGTATCATGAAATTGCTTGTATTAAGAACACTTCCATGTCTTACAGATGTATGAGCCTGGGTTTTTTCCCCCCACTCTACTTGATATGTGTGTGTACTTTTAAAAGTGTTCTTAAGCTTAGTCTCCAAACCCATCGGCTCTGTGGTAGCTAGAGAGGCATCTCCTCCTGCATTATGTGGGTTGTGTTTGAAACCAATATTTTGGAGATATAATCGGCATATATGTATCTGGTTACATCATACCAGTGACAATGGGCTTCTGTTAAACCAGTGATGCTACTGTGTTTCTTTGCATATGAAGTAAAGCCTGAGAAGGAAATAAATGTTGCTATATAAACCATACAATGAGGAGAGCTACTTTGTTTCACTCCATTAACCACACTTTCATTTGCTTTGCAGGCAATGGCATCATTAGAGGATGAGAGGTTTTGCTAAAAACAGTTAACTTTGAGGGTAACGTAAGACTACTTTGATTAAATAGGAAATTTGGTGTACAAAATACCAGATCGCAAGCACCCATCTACCTGGGGGACTTGTTTGCAGAATGAACTTTTGTGCACATGTTCCTAGCTAGATAAGGAACTATGCTTGATAGGTCAGAGAAAAGCAGTTGTTCTGATCTCTCATAACCCCACAAAGATGGGGACGACAAAAGACATGCACATTAGTGATGTTCACCTGGCAATGTTCTACAGAGAAGAGTAGATTATCCTTATGTTCCAAAATATCCATTAAAATTCCCCCCACAAGCTGGTTTGGATGTTTGTTTTAATACAAATGATAGCACTTTAACAAACATATTTACCTCCAATCTAGTTTGAATCTTCAGTAGAGTCCTGGGGGAGACTTATAAATGTTAGTGGAATCCTATTCCTGTTTGTGTAACTTGCTGTGTCTAATTGCAGTTAGATAAGCTGCACAGTGCATCTCTGTTGTGCAAGTGAATGTATGCCCAAATGCATGACCAAGATGTGCATGGAACCTCATCAGTTTGGCATGGCAAGTTGTATATATCTTAAGCAAATACCAACATATAATTCTGGCATTATATATTTTTAGAAAGATGCATTAAATGATATATGGTTTTTGTGCCATGTGTGGGGAGAGGAAAGCTCACCTTTCTGGTGCTGATATACTACTCAGGGCAGCTAGAAGCACTAGGTCATCTTTGTTAGATATTCACAAACGTTTGGTTGAACCAAGGGTGATGGATCAAAGATATCCATTCCTATATGGACAATAGCCTATATATAGTAATTAAAATGTGTAAAAGAAAAAGTAAATTTTTAAAAATTAACAACGGTGTGTGAATCACCACATAAAAAGTACATAGGAACCAAACTAGACAGGTATATATATCTGTAGTTACTGATATCTGTAATTCCGTTATTGCATGAATTTTTTTTTTTACTGACTTAAGCCTTGCACTGAAAATAAAAGCAGCAGTTTCTTGCAGAACTGCTGCTGAATAGCTCAGTGGTTTAGGCATCAGGTTGAGAGTTCAATTTCCCACTGTGCCACCTTGACAAGGGCTGGCTGTGATGGTCCATGGTGTCTCTTCCAGCTCTGCAGCTTTAAGATTATTTTCATTATTATATTATTGTTATATTAGTATGACAAGTACTGAAAGAAACAATTACAAAGTCTTGCTGAGTGACAAAATTAGCTATATCTCTTATTTATTTATTTATTTATTTATTTATTTGTTTGTTTGTTTGTTTATTTATTTATTTATTTATTATATTTCTATCCTGCCCATCTATTATTATTATTTATTTAACTTATATGCCGCCCACACTACCCGAAGGCCTCTGGGTGGTTTACAGCATTTAAAATACAATAAAAAGGCAAAATAAAAGGGCAAAATAATTAAAATGCAATTAAAATGTATATTCTAAAAATCGCCATCAGACCCACAGCTGATATTATTTCAGTTAAAAGCCTTCTGGAACAGGAAGTTTTGACCTGGTGCTGAAATGTCATCAGCGTCGGCGCCAGACGAATCTCAGTCGGGAGGGCATTCCATAGTCTGGAGGCAGCTGCCAAAAAAAGCCCTTTCTCTACAAGCCCTCCCTCTTATCTCCTTAAGGGACGGCTCTTTCAAAAGGGCCCCCTGGCTAGATCTTAACTGCCAGGTAGGTTCATATGGAAGGAGGCAGTCCTTCAGGTAATACAGGGCCCAAGCTGTTTAGGGCTTTATACGTCAAAACAAGCACTTTGAATTGGGCTCGGGCAGCAACTGGTAGCCAATGTAACTTAATGTGTCGGCTTTATGTGTTCCCTGGTGGCCCCACCACTCATCAGCCGCGCAGCTCGATTCTGGACCAGCTGCAGTCGCCGGACCGTCTTCAAAGGCAGCCCCACGTAGAGCGCATTGCAGTAATCTATGCGAGATGTTACCAGTGCGTGTGTAACTGTCATGAGACTCCGCTCGTCCAGGTAGGGCCGTAGCTGGTATAATTTCCGCAGCTGAACGAAGGCGCCTCTGGCCACCGAGTCCACCTGGGCTTCCAGTGTTAAACTGGGGTCCAGGAGCACCCCCAAGCTGCGGACCCTGTCCCTTAGAGGGAGTGTAACCCCATTCAGGGCAGGGAAATTGCCCTCCAACCTGTCCGGTGAAGCACGCACTAACAGCACTTCCATCTTGTCTGGATTGAGTTTCAATTTATTAACCCTCCAGGTCTACTCTTAGATGAGAGCTCACAAACCAATCTCCCCTGCTGGGAGTTATTCATGTGTTTTCAAGGGCACCTGCATCATTGCTAGCTGTGCTTGCTGAGGCTGAAGTTCCAAATTTGTATGGCACTAGGTTGAGAGTGTTGGTTAGAGATAGGCACAAACCTCGGTTCAGAGGTTTGTACCAGTTCATTGGCCAAAACCAGAAATGCCGTGCATTCCTCTCCTCCACCACCACCCCGACCAAATCCTCCACTCACTAGCTGGCCCTTGTTGCTCTTAACCTCCTCTTCGGGCATTCATCCAGTCCTGTCAGGAGCACCTGCTTCCCTCCTCTGCCTCCACCAGCAGCTGCCCACTCAAAGGCAGCGCTGCAGGAATCCCTGTACCACCTCATCTGAATGAGTGGCTGCTGGAGGAGGCAGAAGAGAGAAGGTGCTCCTGCCAGGATTGGATGAATGCCCAAAGAGGAGGAGGAGAGCAGGTCACACCAGCTGGTGAGTGGAGGATCTGACCAGGGGAGTGGGGGAAGGGAACATGCAGCACCTGTAGTGTTGGACCAACAAACCGACACACACCTCCAAACCTAGCCCATCTCTCGTGTTGGCCATAAATACAGTATTTTGTCACACATCAAGAGGACAAAATGTATCTGCTATAAAGTTAGTTGAAGCCAAGCTAATGAAACTCAGTTTTGTCCAGGAAAAAACAGAATCAACTTTCAGCCACGCCAGAGTGACAGAGGATAAAAAGTGCTGTTGCACAGGTTAGTGGCATACATTTTATGTCCAGAAAGGAAGTATCAAACCACCGGAGAGATAAAGAGCATTCAAGAAATGGACAAACTCAGATGGGAAGGTTGTGTTCTTGTCTTTGGCATTACCTATGCAACACCGCAGTGGTTCAAGATGTCTAAAATCTTTGCTTACTGTTGCAGGAATGTTTGCTTTCAAATGCCTCTACTGTTGATACTAATATACCATGGAGTAACTTTTCCCATTTAGCCTTAAAACCTTCCTTTCCTGAATGATTGCCATCTTGCTCTAGAAAATTTCTACAGTCTGAGCAAGGAGTAGAATATTCATCTGCATAAAGGTGGCTGGCATAGATCTTGGCTTGATCCCATCTTGAAGCATGCCTTGACATGCATCAGCATTTTCTTTATCAAATTGCCCTTCATATAGAATTGGCACCTGCATCTTGACCAGCTGCCCAAGCATTAGGCTTTCTGTGTTCCTTTCTAAATGAAGATGTGCATGCATTAGGTTAACAATATGGTCTCGCACAGTCAAAGCTATGGTTTTTCCAGTAGCGATGAATGGAAGTGAGAGCTGGACCATAAAGAAGGCTGACCGCCAAAGAATTGCTGCTTTTGAATTGTGGTGCTGGAGGAAACTCTTGAGAGTCCCCTGGACTGCAAGCAGAAAAAAACCTATCCTTTTTGAAGGAAATCAACCCTGAGTGCTCACTGGAAGGACAGATGCTGAAGCTGAGGCTCCAATACTTTGGCCATCTCACGAGAAAAGAAGACTCCCTGGAAAAGACCCTGATGTTGGGAGAGTGTGAAGGCAAGAGGAGAAGGGGACAACAGAGAATGAGATGGTTGGACAGTGTCACCGAAGTTACCAACTCCAGGAGGCAGTGGAAGACAGGAGGGCCTGGCGTGCTCTGGTCCATGGGGTCACAAAGGGTCGGACACAACTTAATGACTGAACAACAACAACATTTATGTCCTGCCCTATTTGTAGAGAACATACAGTAAGGTTGTAGCTACTGAGGGTTTTTTAAAGTATAATGTGATTACTAGCTCATGAACTGAGAGATGTTTTTGACTTTTTTCTGAATCACAGTCCTTCCTGCTTCACACCAGTCTTTTTAAAATACAGTAAATGTTAAAATTAATTTTTCATTGAAGACCTAGAATTGGTCTTTCAAACCATTTCTAAAACATAGCACAAGTATTTGGGGCATCTAAAGTAGTTCTTTGGAGCCAGCCTAAGCACTTTGGGATGCTCTGTGCCCCTGTAGTATGAAATTTCTCATAAGGGTTTATTGAACTCAATTGTAATTTTATTGTATTAATTACATTACTGTATATTTTTACTGTATGGTTTTAATCTATGTGGTGAACCTCCCGGGGATAGATAACACTAATAAGGAAGGAAGGAAGGAAGGAAGGAAGGAAGGAAGGAAGGAAGGAAGGAAG